TGATCATCTCATATTCTTTCCAAAAAAATTTTAAAAAAAAGGTGAAAAATTTCTACTGTTACACCCTCCGTAACACTGGAATGGATCACTTTAGCAAGATTATATACGAGACTATTTTTGTTCGAAATTTAATGTAGATTATTTTTCAATACACTTTTCGTGCGATACCGCATTGTTTTCTAAATATTTCAGAAAAACTAATCAAAACTACTAATTTTCCAACTTTCCTCCCCCCTCCCGCCCAAACCCGAGGCTTAAAATGGTGCAACTTTCTACCAAACAATCTGTGGACTGTATAGAACAATTTGCATTTGGAGGGAAACTTTTACTTTGGACGTTGAGGTTTGGGTCTAATTGCACTGTACTATTAACGCAATCAATTCCATATGTCTCTAATATTTCTTTAACGTAGTCTACTTTAGGAATTTGTAGAAAATACGAGTTTAGCCGTGGCTCCTTGCTATTTCAGAAACCTCTGCGGGAGTTTTCTTGGTGATCGGACGCATGGTGAAGTTATGGATGAAGGGCAAACAGACAGACATACGTGCATGTTTAGGTGTAGATCTAATGTTAAGACCACCTCTTAGTTTGAACCTATCCTTGCGTATGAAACGCGCCAGTTTATTAGAAAATACATCCCGCCCACGCAAGGGAGGTTTCCATTCTCAGTTGATAAACCGACTAAATCCTTACACCTTACCCTTACAATTATTTACAGAGCTTAATCCGGCATCTGGGTGAACGTAATCAGTTGTGTATTTAGCCATGCTTTTTGTTTTGTAGTTGTAAACGCTTTAATGTAAAAATCTCTAGTGATCTTATACTTTGGCCTCTATGGTTAAGCAGGTAATATTCTCACTTACCTTCAAAATTTCAATATTTAAATGTATATGCATTCACAAAAGTGTGAGTTAGGAACACCTAAATCATTGTAAATCTTAAAATTTAACTGATAGGATAATAAAGTTACTATCAGCTACTACTACTACATTTTCCAAATTAGATGTTACCACTGAACTGAGATACTTTTTTTGTTGCTGTTACACCAGAAAAAAATGGGCGCCTTTACAAACAAGTTAAAAAGTAATCGTAAACGATTTACATAAAGCGCATTTCCACTTGCATTCATTTCCCGTTTGTAAGATGCAACTTCTGTTAAAATCGTAAAAATCCGGCCACAAATATGAAAGATAGCGTTGCACATGGGCAATCCATTGTTGACGTGCTACTTCAATTTCAGTTTATGAGAAGAATTTCATTTCAATGCTTTTCTAAATAAGAAAGTTGGAACTGCGCATGCGCAAACCTAAAATTTAAAACTAATGTTAGATTTTCCTTTGTTCCAAGCGCCTAAGTATCAAATTTCACTTAAATAGTTCCATAGATAAAAAAGTTGGCACTGCGCATGCGCAAAATAAAATTTTGAAACTGGCGCTAGATTTTCCTTTATTCCAAGTGCCTATGTATCACATTTCATTTAAATTCTTCCATAAATAAAAAAGTTGGCACTGCGCATGCGCAAAGCCAAATTTTGAAATTGGCGTTTGATTTTCCTTTATCCCAAGTGCCTATGTATCAAATTTCGTTTAAATTCTTCCATAAATAAAAAAGTTGGCACTGCGCATGCGCAAAACCAAATTTTGAAATTGGCGTTTGATTTTCCTTTATCCCAAGTGCCTATGTATCAAATTTCGTTTAAATTCTTCCATAAATAAAAAAGTTGGCACTGCGCATGCGCAAAACCAAATTTTGAAATTGGCGTTTGATTTTCCTTTATCCCAAGTGCCTATGTATCAAATTTTGTTTAAATTCTTCCATAAATAAAAAAGTTGGCACTGCGCATGCGCAAAACCAAATTTTGAAATTGGCGTTTGATTTTCCTTTATTCGAAGTGCTTATGTATCAAATTTCGTTTAAATTCTTCCATAAATAAAAAAGTTGGCACTGCGCATGCGCAAAACCAAATTTTGAAATTGGCGTTTGATTTTCCTTTATCCCAAGTGCCTATGTATCAAATTTCGTTTAAATTCTTCCATAAATAAAAAAGTTGGCACTGCGCATGCGCAAAACCAAATTTTGAAATTGGCGTTTGATTTTCCTTTATTCCAAGTGCCTATGTATCAAATTTCATTCAAATACTTTTATAAGTAAAAAAGTTTGCAATTCGGTTTATAAATGGTCGAGATGCGAAAAGGGCACTGTGAATTTTGAATCGATTCGATTCAACTTTTGGCATTGCGTATTATATGGCTAAAGCTATGCCCATATTGAATTTCATGCAATTCAGTTCATAACTAACGGAGATGTAAAAGCGATCGAACATTTCTAAACAAAGTTATCGTTCACACGGACAGATAGATGGACAGACAGACAAAGGAACAGACGGAGAGACCAACCGGCAGGCGACAGATAGCAATGCAAAATTATAAACGATCTCTAGGATCGTTAATAAACGGCAAAAGTGTAAAATTATGGAACATGTAAAAAAACGGTTTTTTGTTTTTTTTACAATAACTTTTTTTGTAAGCGGTACAGAAAAAATTCCTTCCTTGGTACAAGACTCGACACCATAACGAACCAAATAGCGAAAAAAGTAGAACAATAGCTCTTAAGATAAAAAACGAGTAGCGTCGCAAAGTTAGCGGACGGACGGACGGACAAAGTGGCCACAATAGCGCATTTTTTTTTTAATTTTGTGGAAATGCGCTAAAAATGGAAGTAAGGCTACTGTCAAGTTAAAATTATGTCATGGACAACCATCGCTTCTTGGGCCATGTCGGTATAGGTACCGTAGGTAAAATGTCTCATGCCATTTATAGATTTTCATTTTTGCATCTGAACTTCTTTCCACACAGCACCTTTTTTATTCCTATTGTTCTAATATTTATGTTGAAGATTGGCGGAAGTTACATCACCTTGTGATTTGCATTTAAATTCCAAAATTAATGGTAATTCCACAATAATTTTTTTACGTTGTTTGTTAATGTAGATTACTTTTTTATACGGCATTACTTGTTTTGATTAAACATTTTCATACTCATTTACTTAGTTGTAGAAACTTCCTTGACAAGGCTTTATACTATATACACCTTAGGTAACTGTTAAAGTGCTAACCAATAAATTTTATTTTTGGGTTGAAGGTCTAAATATTTAGACTGTCATTACGAGAACCTCGATGTAGCACTTAAATTTTGTCAATACGAGAAATTCAGCAGCCTTAACCGCCTCCCCCCAATCCCAAGAATTATTCAACGGATTTTTAATTAACACCTAGGATAATCCTAGATACGAAGAGAAAATTTATTATGAGCACTTTTATATTCTGGGTCGTAATTTGGTCTCGATTAAACGCACAGCTGATCAATTACACACGACATAAATTTATTCGACAAAAATCAATCAATAAAGCTGTAAGAAAGAAAGGCACTCAGGACTCGATAACAACCACGCACGCACATGCGATTGATTGAAACAAATGAAATTTAAAAGAAAATTCTAATTACGTTCAAGATGTCATATATCCGGTCATAATTTTCGTGAACTGACGCACAAAAAACAAACACCAACCGATGACACTTCGGAATCTTCACTACTTTCACTAATTAATTCTTGGTATAATACTTCACATATTGACATTTAATATAAAAAATAGTGTCGAGTAATAATTTAATATTTACATCCTAAAAATCCCTCATGTGGGTCGAGAAATAGGTATGCGTGGGTGACGTGCATACTTTATTTATGAATATATTGCATACTAAATAGAAGAGCACAATAGCAACGAACGTTTTCGGGTTCTGGTAAAAGAATCCAAGGTCTAAAGCCAGATGTTTGACAGTTTTTATGTTTCTACATATAGAACGAAAATAGCTCAACAATCCTATGCCGTTTACGCAAGCATTTTAGTAAGGGAGGTATTGCATAGGAGTAAAACATGACCCCTCACTTTTTTACGGAAATACAGGTTTTGAAACAAAATTTCGATTATGTCGGTTTGTGGATCTGTGTGTCCTACTTTCATTTCCGGCTAAACTGCTGAATCGATTGAAACCAAATTTGGTACACATATGTTTACCCCGCTCCATAGTGCAAGTTCATTTGTGTGGTATTTCATGAATTTTAACGTTTCCCGGTCGCTTTTTCGTAGATTTCCGGTACTCATTTTGAACCGTGAACTGCTTTTTCACTAGGGAATCTATTCAAAATGGTCCGTGAAATATCAAACAGGTTTGATTTACATCCTCATGATCGTGACGTCTGTCGTATCAATTCGTCTCTATCTGTATCTCACGCCTCTGTGGGAGTTTTCTTGGTGATCGGACGCATGGCGCAGTTATGGATGAAGGGCAAACAGACAGACATACGTGCATGTTTAGGTTCAGATTTAGTGTTAAGCTTAAGACCACCTCTTAGTTTGAACCTATCTTTGCGTATGAAACGCGCCCGTTTATTAGAAAATGCATCGCGCCCACGCAATTAGGAAGGTTTCCAATGTCAGTAGATAAACCGACTACCCTTACTCCTTACCCTTACATTTATCTAATCGTTAATTTCGATAGACATAAATACATAACTTAAACATAAAGGACAGGCCCTTAACCTTCAATACGGGTAACAATGTTGGTCTGAGCAAAAATATTGTATCCTTGCGTGAAAAGTACAGTCATGAAATATCAAAGAAGAAACTGCTTTGATATCTTCACCACATTCTGCGGAAGTACACAAGGTTTTTCTCTTCACATAGCTGTAAGTTTAAAACCACGGAGGGCCATGGAGAAGCTTTTGTAGACAATAATATCCTATACACCTACAGCTACACAGATCAGGGAATCAGAGCCAAATTGCGCTTTTTCCATAACACATGGGAGCATAAATAACAAGCAAAGACGGCCGAAAACTTGCAAGTTTTGTAAAAAAAAAAGATTTTCATTTAATTTGTCCCCATTCAGCAGCAGCAAGTGAATCTTCAGTGTCTAATTCTACGGATTAAACGGCGATAAGGGAATATCTTTTATTTCTTGGAATATTTCTTAATTATTTCTATCAATTTACTATGTAGAACAGGAACAATATTCTTTGCCCATTGAAAATCCATATGACTGTAATCCTTAATAAACTGTTTCTCTACTAGGTTTGGCAGTTGAGGTATCAGTACCTCTACATCCTAAACAAGCAGAAACTAATTACTGATTAAAATTCAAGCGAAGGATACTTACAGAGCGAGTGGAGAGTCCGTCCGAACCTCCATAGTAGAGTGCTACCGGTGCAGTGATTGCACTAATGTTGTACTTTGGCGGAGTTTTGGTCCCATATTTCTTTACATTTTCATCCATTCCGTAATCGTACATTTGAAATTGCTCTTTAATCATAAATGATTTTGTTTTTAGCTGTAATTTAGTGGGTTACCTGAGATAGCCAATTGAACGTAATGGAAAATCATCCTCGTTGAAGTTCCAGCGGGATATTCAGCAATTATTGCTGGAAGCGCAGTCTGCAAAGTAAGCACAATATTTAGTAAGTTTATGCGTCGATGGTTACCGTGTTAAAATGAGGACTATTATCCTCCAAAGAAGTAAAAGATGGATGCACAAAATATTTGAGTCACAGCATAGTCGTTGCATAGCAGGCTACCTAATGAGGCTAATAGCGGTGAGTACGAAGCCAGTTCGTACACCCTATTCTTTTCGGCTAGTTTCTAAAAAAATATACACATTACAAAAAATCAAAGCTTAGTTTTTACCTGGATTTCGGGTAGATGATGCTTAACAAATGTAACTACGGGGTTTTGCACGTTGAAAACGTAGGCGACGGGAGCGAGCGCGATCATTAATATTATCCTGTCATTGTACTGAGGTTTTGTGGCAGCCATTGCAAAAAATGAGGTAGTTCCTTGAGAATGACCAACGTAAAACAATTTTTTGAAATTTGTCCGTTTCAGGATATAATCTATATTCGCAGTAATATCATATATTCCAACCTCATGAAAGCTGCAAATGTTAGTACAAATTAGTAATAGAAAATGGCTTGGGAGCTAGGAAGGCGATCAGTAAACATACATTGGTAAATATTAAGAAACCAAAATCTAACACGTAAAACTTCTTCCGCTAAGCATTACAATGAAAAGTATATTCATTTTTAGGTAGCTGTGTCAAAATTCTTAAAAATCCCCAGATTATTTATAGCTTTGTATAATTCTCCGTTCTTTTGTCCGTCAGATTGTCTGTGTTCGCTGTAACTCTTAGTTAACATCCCCAAACAGGTATTTTTTATTGCTTTTAATTTTAGTCCGTTCGCCCGTCCGTCTGTTCGTCTGTGTGCGCTATAACTCTTTTTAAAAGTGACCGAAGTCTCGTTTAATATTTTTCCTGTATGTTTATCTTCAAACACAGTGCCGTCGACTTATCGACTACCTTCTTTTAATAAATGCAGTATAACATGTATCGGTTTCGTATAAATGAGGGAAAGAATTCACCAAAAAATGAATACTAAATCAGAAGATAACCGGCAATTATAATTGTATAAACTATAGAAACACATAAAAACTGAATAACTAAAAAAAATTTAAAACAGATCTAAAAAGGATAAGCATAAATAAAAAAGTAAGTTGTTTTTAAATTTTTTTTGCATGGTATACCTATATGAATCGTCTGTCAATCATTTGCATATTAAAGTTTGCTTATTTCGACGTTCCTGAAGAAATCCACCTGTCAGAAACATTTTTATATGAAGATACGGTATTGTATTTTATTCAACGATAAGGATCAGATCCAAACAAATGATTTTGGTTATTTGTTTCAATGATTTTTATTTGCATTTAATTTCATTATTAGTAGCCCTTTGTTTGGTTTCAATATGTTATTTTGTATTCTGTGCGTATTCTGAACATGTTAATTATACCAACCAGTAATTCAATATGAGGTAAAAATAAAATCTTTAGATAAGAATCAAAGTTAGCACGGACACGTGACATCGAATAGTCAGGTTTTTAAAATTTTGGTTTACTTTTATGAGTCAAACCAATATTTTGTATGCAGGAAAATGTAAATAAAAATGGAATTCGATCATCTAAGGTCTGATGCGTATTTATTAGTGTTCTGTCGCTCCAGCACGTTAGACTTTGAATTTCAGATCTTAGAATGAGATAAGAGGCCAAACTTCCGGAAGGTAAGGGGTAGAAAAACAACTTTATTAATAATTTAGCCGTGGAGCGATCAAAATTAATTGTTATGTTGGGATGTCTGCCAGTGCTGTAGAGATTCAATGTTACTTTATACCAGTTATATAAATGTAACTAGCCCGTTAAATTTTCCAGTGTTGTATATTAAGTGCAGATTAAATGCAAATATGTACTGATATTTCAAATTATCCCAAGGCTATAACGCGCATTAACTTATATTAACTAACACTTCAATATCAATGTACCAGAATGTGTAAATTATACGTGGTAAATGAAAATGTTACTCCTTTTGGGTAGATCTTTGGTGCTGAAATGTAATGATAAGATTACTTCATTAGTAGTGCGTATTAACGAATATACTATTATAGTACCGACCTGTAATCAAAAAATTCCTTTTCATTTTGAACCGCGTCCAAGAATTTATGCCTTTTGGACCACCTTGTCCCTCTTGTGTTTGCAAGCCAAACATCATAACCTTCATCCGCCAACATAAATCCCAAACTAAGCCCAGGACCTAAATTTAAGTAAATTAGTGACGTACAAACTAATCCTGGCACAAGAAGAACTGGCAACTGCGATTTCGACGTTAGATTGCGTTTTCCATAAGGTATTCGATAGGTTTCCAGTAAATATCCGTCTTCAGTTTCAATCGTGTGGATCTCCAAAGGATAACCATATTTTTGAATAATTTCTTTCTAAAAGCCGATGAGGGGTACATTGGGTTTGCTCGAGCGCTAATAGAATGAAACTTACAGAGCTTATTCCGGCATCTGGGTGAATGTAATTACTTGTGTATATAGCCATGCACAGTGGTGAACAAATCACTAACAATGAAACTGTTGTAATTTCCATAATGCACGTAGTACCGGTATATGATAAGTGTTTTGTAGTAGTAATCGCGTTAATGTTATAATGTCCAGTGATTCTATACATTGGCCTCCATTATATTAATCAGCTAACATTTTCATATTGCCACTCACTTACCTTCAAAAGTTACGTTTGCTTCATTATCATTTTGAAATTGTTAACATGTATGCAAACAGAATAATCTGGAAAACCCAGATTCATACATGCGTGAGTTACTACACCTAAATCCTTTGCCCAGTATTAATCGCACTACATGTATAAGTACGTCTCAAAAATGAACGGGTAAGAGAATAAAGTTACTACCAGCTGCTGCGCATTTTGAATATTCTCTAAATTAGTTTACTACCTATTTGTTGCTGGTACACTAATTAATAAGTGTTGTTTCGCTACAGGAAAAAAATTGGCGACTGCATAAACTGGAAAATGGGGCTACGGTCAAGTTAAGATTATGTCAGGGACAACCATCGCTTCACCCATGTCTCATGCCACTTATAGATATTTAATTTTTGCATTTGAACTTCTTTTCGTACAGCTTTTCGTATTCCTGTTTGATTGGCGTAGTTTACATTACTTTGTCCATAGCATTACCCAGGATTAGAGTTCATATTTAAATTCCCATATTCATGATAATTCTACAATGTAGAATTCTGTAAGTTGTTTTAATTAATTATTTTCATTTTCATGAACTTAGATGTAGAAATTCTACAAAGCTTTACGCCTTACGGTATCTACACTTTAGATAACTTTAGAAAACCTTATAGAAAGCACGCACCTATGCGATTACTACTTGATAGATACAGGCTCAGACTACTTCTCAGTATCGCGTGAGTTTAACTCGAACTCGAAATTTCACTGTTATAATGACGAATTAAAAATCTCTTAGAACACTATCCAGACTTCTTCTTTTAGAACTTTACAAACACCAAGACTGGCTGTCTTTTACAAAAAAAGCTAAACAAAAAGTTCACTAAAAAGCGCCTACCAAAAAGTTCCGTTTAATGTGTACTTTGACGTTAGAATACCTGAAATACAAACTAATAAAATAATTGTATTCTTCCAAGATAATACCTACCGTTTTCTGCTTCTGCTTAATGAGGTGGTACCCAGCACCTAGCCCAGCACCGTTGCTTTCTGCGTTTTTCATTAGAATGTTGCCACTGCTCATCACTACAAATGCTGCTGTCGCTTCAGTTTCGTTAACAATTTTCATGGGGACTAACTTGTACTTGGGGTTTTTGGCGAAACCGGATGCCACGTAGTGTGTAAGTCATATTTGAGCTGGTACATGTACTTGGAATAAATACAAGTGCTTCTAAAGTGTCCAGTAATGAGTAGCTTGCTTTAGAGTTTAGAGGTTATGACAACAAATTGATATATTTCGTTTAGCAACTTACGTGAATAATAATTTCTGTTGATTCCATACGGAGTAACGCAAATCGATGCATTGTCACTCTGTTAAAACAGGTAAATAGGAATACCCAAAACACATAAAATACACCTGAAATCTGCAAAGTAGAATTAGGAAATCGGCCCTACCTGCAGTGTTGCCATAATTCTCAGCACGGCTTGTAAATATAGATGGTTGTGCCTTAGGTGCATACTAACAAATGAAAAAGAAAATTATCAAAATCGGAAAACATCTTCCGATCGATCCGATTTTTTTTTTATTAGCGCTATGGTGCTCAATGGTTAGTAGTAATATTGAATAGCCTGCAAAAAAAATATTACCGCTTTTAAGGCATATCTTCCGATCGCGCAAGGCGTCTGAACATTTGTAAATTTTTCCTTTTTTTCATATATTCTTCATGTTTTGTATGACTAATGGCCGTTGGGCGATCGGAAGATGTTTTCCGATTTTGATAATTTTTTTTGGATTTGTTAGTATACACCTAAAGCAACTTTTGCGCGAAATTGTAACTTTGACATTTTTCGATCCACCCTACTGTATAACATAGCCATCACCTTGGTGACCCTAGGGAAATACCTCTGCATTTTCAGAGATGCGCCTTCCTCGGGCCTAATAAAAGGGACAATGGCACCCTGAGCCCCGCCCCAGCGATTAATTGGTAATAGTTTCGTGGTGCACCCGCAATTTTAGGTGTCCCAGAACCTCTGGGCTTGTTCTCAGGTTACCCTGAACCAGGCCCTGGATTGCTTCCCTCCGATCTGAGACGCTTGGTCCCTGACGTCGGGTTTCTCCCCTATTCGTCGTGAGGATAGGAGCTAGCCCACCACCACTCGGAGGTCGTACGGGATTTGAACTAAACTTTGTCAACATGCGCCTAAGCGAAAAGTTTTTTGAATTTGAGACGTTCCACCCTGTATATACAACTTACGACGATACATAGATTTTTGAGAGTTGGCAACCATGGAATTTCTAATTGGGAAAAAGCTGCCTGCGCCATCTAGAAAGCACGAACAGGGGTTGCGTTTGCCATCTTGTCTTGAATGGCGGTAGTGAACGCGTCGCTCCATAAATTTTTGTTGTTAGTTTGTGTTATTTAATGCAGGTAGTAATTGCATTTCCTTATATCGTATTTGTGTTTTGTATGCCGCATTTTGCATTTTTTGAGTGTTTCAATCTTTGATTTTGAGATTTACTTGATTTAACCGCAATGCAGAATGACATGTTAAATACCGTTATGCTATTGTTTGTCATTGTTTACGTTTTTGGTGCTTGCTTAATTTATGTTCATTGATGTTGAATCCTTGGTCTTGTCCGTGAAGTAACATTCAAACATTCAAAACTGTAGTCAAAATTGAGTTACGACACCTAATTCCGTGATTGTCTTTGACATTCAACTGTAGGCTCGAAACCCCGAACGAGGGGCGACGCTACCTATCTTGCGGGGGCGAGATTACGCTAATCAAAACTCTTCAGTTTAGAATCTATGTGCTATAAATGAGTTACGATTCGTAATTTCCACATCTTTTTGGTTAAATTTGCCTACAAGGCCATGTAATTTTCCATCTTGCTTTTAACAAAAGGAATTTATTGCACCAAAGATGAGACATCCTGTACTCTTAACGCTTTCTCAGAATTTAGGTACCTGCTCCTACCTTACCAAAAACTTGCTTTTAACCTTGAGTGTAACCAACATTGTGTATATGCTTTTACTATCTTTGTTAACTACTGCTTAAACTTTTACAAAATATTTTGTTAATTAACTTTTGGACTGTATTAATCAAACTGCGAGGTTTTTCTTACGTCTAACTCTTTTTACCCTTAGCAGTTACTTTTGCGAGAGTACGACACATTTTTACTTTGCTTGCTTTGTCTATATTAATAACATCAACTGAATTTCCGGGTTTTCACAATCTTAATAATTACAATCATTATTAAGAGGCACCTCTAAAAAGCATTATGCGGGTCACTCTGTAATTGGGCGCAAGTTTGTTGAGGACCCAGAACAAGAGAGGGATAATAAATAAAGTTTACCACTAACGTAAGGGGGCCCTGCCTTAGATGTTTAATCACGTGCCACTTTTTAAATTTAAGTGGGATCTTGTTTAGTTTTGGAGGGATTAGTCATTCTGGTGGTCATTTTTAAACGTTGCCGGGCTGACTTTATTTCCGTGTTCTTGTAGTGTGAAGTTAGCGTAGAACCTGGGGGTTAAGTACACTACAAATTTTATCGGTGTTTTCTTTATTTTTAACAAATGCCCCCCTTCGCAACGTATATGGAATAAACAAACCAAATTCTGCTTTCATTTACCTCTCTCATAATTATTTTACTTCAAATCCCGTACCTACATTTCCTATCTAAGAGTGGCAACATTTTGATCTAACTGAACTCTTTTTTAGACAGTAGATTCCTTAAGGGTTTTTTCTTATTATTCAACGACAAACCATTAATTTTGAAAACGGCAATGGGTTAAATACAAAATTAAAAAAATATGACTACTGTATTTACACTAACTAATAACAGTAGTGATTTATGTCCTTCCTCTCCCTTCATCGAGCACGGACTTCCTGCCTTGTTGTTTCCAAAAAAATGATGGGAACAATTCGATGGAAAATCCTAGCTGATCCCGTTGATCGAATTAACCTTTAGGCGTACGGTGCAACTGAACTTAACGAAAATTATGCTCCCCAGCTTTAACTTTTCTCCCTTTCGTTCCATTTTTTTGGTTTCGAATTTAATCTCCGGCGGATTAAACTCAATTTTTCAGCTACTCTACATGATTTGGTACCCCTTTGTGTTAAAACATTGCGAAAATAAAAGGGTCGCAAATTTTACTCAGATTTAATCAACTGTATAGAACACATCTATTATGGTTTCAATGTTAAAATGAAAATCATCCAAAGTATTTTTACCGTTTTTGTATTGTTTATAAAAATTTAATTGTATAATACCTATGGTAACTGAAAACAGTACGTACTTACATCCATCAGAATGATAATGATATGTTTTTTTTATTGAAGGTTAGATTTCTTATACCCTAATAATTTAATTCGCGGGCGAAGTATAATGGCAATTTAGTGGATAGTATAAGTATAAATGATATATTAGTAGTTGTGATTGTGCGTTATCGTGTTATGCGAGATGCGTCAAACAAATTTATTATTACTCGCATTTGCTGTACTCTTTAGTGTTCAACTGGCAAAGAATCTTTACTCCGATACTAAAATAGACACGGTAATACATCTCTGGATTGACAATACCTAAGACCAAAAAATGGTATTGGTACAAACCCAAGACCAAAACTAAAGTAACAGGGTAAACGAATAAAACGTTTGCCGTACAATATTACGTCACCAATATGGAAGTACGATAGGTATACTGTATCAGTCGTATGCCGTTTATGGTAGCAATTTAGTAATCCTTTTCTCATATCCCAAAGGGTAATTTGAGTATAATTAACTTTGGATTTACAGCACAAATTTGGTGTTTGGTATTTCAATAATAACTGAAATATTATATCGTAACGAAATGCAGGACTGGTAAGCTGAAATACTATATGAAAATTTCTTTCTTTTTACAGCACCAACTAATACAAAGCTACGGATATCCCATTCAGGTTCACGAAATTGTCACTGAAGACGGTTACATATTGCAAACCTTCCGTATACCCTATGGCAAGAGAACAAATACTTCGAAACCTAGGCACCCGGTCCTCTTGGTTCCCGGAATGGGATGTACTTCCATTGTATACTTAGCGATGGGTCCCGATCGCGGGAGTATAGGGTTTATGTTAGCCGATGAAGGTTTCGACGTATGGCTTGCAAATTGTAGAGGGACGAAATGGTCTAAAAAACACAAAACTCTCGATCCGGTTCGGGACAAAAAACTTTTCTTTGACTTTAGGTAAACAAGGCTATGAAGAAAACCCACTACTTATAATAATTTAAAATTTCAGCTTTCAAGAGGTAGGCCTGTATGATATTACAGCAAACATCGATTACATATTAAATGCAACGAACTTCAAGCAATTGTTTTACATTGGAATTTCTCAAGGAACCACGGATTTCTTTCTAATGGCTGCGGCCAAACCCGAATATAACGAGAAGGTAACGCTAGCGATAGCTCTAGCGCCAGTTGCATACTGTTCCAATGTTCAGCACCCGTTAACTTCGTTTATAAAGCGACGCTTTAAGCAAGTAAAGGTATAAATTTTAAAATTGTTATGTATTTTCGTTAACCAAATTGAAAGGCAACAGCAGACAATATGGGTGTATATGAGATACTTTCTGAATCTTCTGTATCCTCTCTATTTGTAAGAGCTTACGTAGACATTTTTTGTAAGGAATATAGTAGCATTAAGTTTATCTGTACTACTCCAGTATATCTAATGGGAGAGTTTGACTACAACTATAATAAGGTAGATACTGTATTAGTTTAGATTATGTTTACAAGTTTAATTAAATAATTTCAGTCGGCGGTGCCTGTGATATTCAGCGAAATGCCCAGCACCATTTCAATGAAGACGGTGTACCATTACACTCAGATGGCACTATCAGGTATTTTCCATCTAAATGTATTATTGTTCAATGCCTTCCTACAGGGCAATTCGAAATGTACGACGACGGCATAACAGGCAATCTAAGGAAGTATGGACAGACCACCACACCGCAGCTTAACATCAGTAAAATAACGACGCCTGTTGCATTGTACTGTGGACCTAACGACAGATTTTCTACTCGGGCGGTAAGTGCCGAAAGTCGCCGATCCAAGTGGAGTGGACGATTGCTTTTAGGACGTTGAGCTACTCGCGCTGGAGCTCCCAAATTTAGTTAAAAAAGTATATGTTGGGGATTATGGGCATGTAGATTTTGCCATTGCAAGGAATGCCGCATCTATGGTATATGACGACATTATAGAGACAATGAAAAACTGCTCTAACAAAACTGCAATATCTTAGCTGCGAAAATATTAATTTAATCAATTGTGTATGCCACTGACAAGATATCACCTAAAGTGAATTTATTTAATCTTAAATTGAACATAATCCTTATCGTAGATATAGTGTTGCTTTCCCAAATGGCACACGTCGGTGGAGCCAACGTGACCTTCAATGTTAGAAGACCAACTCCAAATCCAAATCCAAAATTGTGTAAATAAATCCGACCAACAATATCTACTGTTCTACCATCTGCTTGGTGTAGGTACCATATTTAAGGCAACCGTGGGGTATTGTGGTTTTCGAAGTCGTTTATTAATGGCTTACAGAATGCACATAATATGTACAAATTTATTTACAGTTGGAAGACGTAAGAGGTGTCGGTGGCGTTTGGCTTGCTTCCTGGGATCGTTAAGCAGCAGTTCACTTAGTGCGATTCGTGCGTACGGCGTGGATACCTCGATCGGAATCAGCTTCTATAAAGGGCGAGCTGCGGTTTGCGTTGGCTTCACCGGCGACGGTGGGAAGGGGCTGATCAGTCTTGGTATCAGGGGTCGCTGACGTACTTGCCGTAGTGCGTTGCGACGTGCTTTGCGCTCGGCGTCGTCGGTATTGGCGGCATGGAATTATGCTTCGGCGATGTGCCGTTGCGTGCCCCTACTATGCCGGTGACTTTGTCGCCAGGCTATAGAACAGCGCTAGACTTTGGTGTCAGGCTATAGGTGCAGAGCTGGGCTTTAGATTCTAGCCCTACTACGAAGCCGGGCATAGAATCCTCTTCCTTTCAATCAATCAATCAAAATACGTTTATTTACATCTTATAGGTATATGATACATTAATTGTTAGTATTAGATGAATGGCGGACTGCTCAGGACTTGTGTCCTTTTCAGCCCCTGGTTAGTACGTGATCATGTGATGTATGAAATGTATTTACAATGCATGCGATTTATCTATGCTATATTGTGCAGGTATCGGCTCGTGTCCTTGGTGCATTGCGCGTCGTCGTTGTCAAGGCCGGAAGCCGCCTTATAAAGGCCGGCGTAGGCGGTGGGGTGAGCTTTTGGTCAAGTTGGTCAAGGAGGGAGGGTGGTTTAGCTCGCGCTAAACTGGTTCGAGGGCGCTCGTCGGACTGCTGACACGTGACGTCACCACATACCTCCTTGCTGGAAACGGAGTTGTACTTGTGATTGCGGGTTTGGGAGTAGTGTCAGCGGTTTCGATTTCTTAACCTTGGTTTGAGGTGGGTCGCTCGATTGTTCGGGCTCCTTGGACGTCGCGGTGTCGGTCTCCACGTATGCTGGTTTGACTGTGTCGTTCGAGACGATAAGTTGTTTTCCATTCTTTATTACCGTCGTCGTTTTGCTTGTTCGGTGCGTTATCGGATACGGTCCTTCGTACAGCGGGTTTAACGGTCGTTGGGCTGTGTCTATTCGTACGTAGACTTGGGTGGCTGTATCGAGGTGTTGTGGCGTGAAAATTTGTCGTCTGGTGTCGTGGTTCGCTGCTTGTGTTGGTCGTAACTCTTAGATGTGCTGTCGCAGTTGCGTGACGAAAGTCTCAGGTCCTATGTGAGGTTCGGCCGTCTGTTTCTCGAAGAGTTCGCCGGGAAGTTTTAGTCCTTGTCCATATACCATTTCGACTACGGTGGCTTGGATGTCTTCCTTCCAGGCGTTTCGTATCCCAAGTAGGGCGATTGGTAGGGCTTGCGTCCATCGTGTTTTGGGTTTTGATGTATCGGCTACGATGAACCTCCACGGGAAGTTCCGACGAAACTTCAGAGCGAGGTTTAAATTGGTTGTCCCGTAAGTGCTGATGGTCGTTCCCTTTGCAGCGTAGAGCTTGTATTCGGTGGGCTGGCGTTTTTCCTTTGTTAATCGTACGTGGAAAATGCACACTTCCGCTGCTGTGTCGATCAGGAATTCCGTGTTCGAGGTTTGGTCAGCTATATACAGTCGGCGGTGGCCTGTGTGAGAGTCGCGTACCGCCTCTAGCGACTGGCTTGCTCGTTTCCCTGGGGGCTCTGCTTGCAGGGTGGTCTGAGTTCGGCGATCTCGGCGGTGATTAGCTTGACTGCCGCGTGGAGTGCGTCGTCTTGGTGGGCGGCGTGGATTGAATGCGGGTTGGTAGCGTTGATGGCATCGGCTAGCTCGGCTGCTTCGCTGAGCGTGGCTTTCTGCTGTGAGGCACTTACTTCACTTTAATTCCACTTATTCCACTTACCCTGAAATGGTTTTCCACTTGAGCGAACCACATCTCCGGGGCGGCGAACCAGAAAGGTGGGAGTTTCATCTGCACTCGATATACCTCCGGGCGTTCCGGGGCGTCTTGAGTTTCTGCGGCGTTGGCCTGCTGACGCGTGACGTCACCACACAACTAATACAACATTTCGACACTTTGTAGGAAACAAAACAAAAATTGTGATGTGTTTATTTCGTCCGGCAGGATGAAATTTTCGGAAATCCTAATTAAAATGGACATGCACGGCCTCTTTTTTGTGTAACTAACATGACTAAATGCGGATCTAGTAAGTCATTTGCCTTAATATTGGGAACAAAATTACATAGGAATAATCCTACAGAAATTCCCAAATTTTCAATAAATGGGAAGGGGACTGCTATTGTCAGCGAAGAAAAAAGTTTGGATAGGTATTGATTTTTGTTGATTTCTAAACTTAGGCTCCAAAAACACCTGAATCTGAATATACAGAGAGCGTATATGGGGTTACGAGTGCTTTATCCACATAGGAATCGTATCTGTATCAAAGCAAAGGCCATGGTATGTGACCTATTGATACTATCAGCTTTTTCTTACTGCGCTACAGTATACGGTCCTTGTATGGTGTTTCTCTAAAACGGTTGCAAGTCGTTCAAAACTCGTGTTAGTTGATTATCCAATTTTGGTCGAAATCGTCTTCAAGCACATTTTATAATAACCGAAATGTGCACTATACTTTTTCTTGCGGAATTACTCGAAATTGTTGACAGTCCTTAAATATCATTGTTCGGTGTGGCACTATGCAAAATGTTTCTTCGTGCAATCTTCCTAGTTGCACAATTATTCTTTCAATTTGCAGATTTATTATATAACCAAAGAGTACCCATAATAAGAGATACAGCGCAATGGTATAAACGCGTGTTGGCTATAAGAACTCGCCCGCTAGGATTCCAAAAGCGGGCCCTCGCGTAGAGGTGGCCAGAACTAACCGCCTCTTTAAATATTGGCGCGTATTGAAAATTTACAGAATTCTTTATAGAATTTCGGTTTAAAATATTTGCGCGGTTGTCACATTTAATTTTCTTTCTTATTGGCTGTATAAAATGTGGACATGATATAATTAGAAAACATTACTTAAGTATAAAGGAAATCAGCAACGATTCAGTAGGTACCTATTGTTAATTACATTGGTATTTTCCTGTTTAGTTGGCGTCTATTGAATAGATAGTAATTACTGTTTAATTGAATAACCAATAACAGGTACAATTGTAAAAATGTAAATTAAATTTGTTATTATCCATCCTTTTTAGATCGTCTACTACAATCAAATTAAAGTAGACAACATATTTAATAAAAGTGGATTTTATGATGAGCATAGCGATTATTTTACAGGAAATTTTGTTTGCTTTAATTTTGTATAGATGCCTACATACGCTGAGTTGTTTAATCATTAACAATCAATCATTACAATGCAATAATCCTTATGTCCTCAGAAAAAAACATCAGTCTAATCCAATAATCAGTCAAAATATATAGTGCAGTTAAATAATAAATTAATAAATCTGCACCCGTCGAATAAATTTAATTAAATATTTGCACGTTATTCTCATTTAAACAATTCAATGAAAAAAATACTCTCGACCCGCATTTTAAGCTACAGCACTAGCGCGCATCGGTCTCCTAGCAACTAAGCGTCGTACACATGTTTTTCAGTCACCATTGGCTAGTAGCGGAAAAAACACATAAGTATATGTATTTAAATTTGCCGCATTCTGCTAGTGAATTATGCATCTAAACGATTGATAATGCAGTGTATGTTCTCATTTTTGAAAACAACGTTGGCGTCCACTCCAAATATAGGGTTTCTGGAGCGTTTAAATACCTCCGGAATGCGTGGGTCGATCGGACGGAAATGTAATGAGATTAAAGGGGACATTAGTCACATCGACTGGTAAAAAATACGGTCCAAATCGGTCAAGCAGTTTTTCAGTTATCGCAAAGAAACCATTTTTAAAGAGGTGGGGTTGCGTCAGGGGTTGCGTTGGTCCACAGTTCACATTTTTAAGTGATCAGAACCATTCGATCACAACTATAATCCAATTGAGGCAGTTTATTTTGGATTTATTATATTGTTTATAGTTTGGCCGGCAAAAATTAAAAAGTGATTGCAACATTTTTTCCGGGAATCTTTCATTATCTTATTATTTGTACAGTTTCTGACTTATTAAATGTCCCTCGAATGCCTCATACCTGTCACATAGGCAACCAACATTCCATTTACTTAATAATTCGTTTGACTTCGGTTTTTAAGTGGAAGGGATGCCGTTAGTTGTAATTTATCCGCACACCTTTTTGTGAAAGCGGGCAGCAAAATCTTCGATTTACCTGCTAGGGAACTTACGCATATGTAACCTCGCTTCATGGCATATTTATCAAAATTGACGCGTCTAAAATTAGGAAATGTGTGATTCATTTGACCAAAAAAATAACTCTTGTTCCAATATGTCACAATAGTAAACCGTCCGCCGTCTTTTAATTCAATTCTCCTAAGTTACAGATTTTAATTTGCCAAATTTGTAATACATAGTTAATACAAAAAAAACACTTATTTTCATATGGCGGATTTATACAGTTCCTTACGTCTCAAAGCAGTTGGGATAAGATAAGAACATTAATAACCTATTTAACCAATTCAATTTCGGTAACATTCCTTGCAGAGTTGCGTCAAAACAGGTTTATTTATTACTTAGTAATTAACAGTTACCTACACAGTGTTTTTAAATGTTGAGGGAGCGATTAAGCGATCTTATGTAAAATAAATAAACTCTGATTTTTAGTATTTTATTGTATCAGTAGATTATTTCAGAGCCTTACTCACGTGTGCCATACAACGTTCCATCCAATATTTTGAAGTTTCTACCTGATAAAAGAATTCGTAATGTTGTCTCATCGATGCAATTAAACATATTTTTTTTTATTTAATCTATATAGGTAGGTAGTCTTAGTGTCAAGTCAACCGAAATGGTAACCAAGACAGTTTTAATCTACTTTGCTAGTTTCGTAAATCGTCACTTACTATGGAATATTGGAAAAAAGGTTTTTTAGTAAGTATAAATATGTTGGCACATTACAAATTATGTATTTCCTGACCGAAAATTGCATATTGCTATATTGAATGAGTGCTCAAATTTTAATTAATGATATGCCATTAGGACTTTCTCCAGCAGTTCTTTTTCTTTTATTAGTTAATTATATCTTGATTGCAACTGGTTGAAGGTTAGACCTCAAATCATTAATTCGCATTAATCCATCGTGTTTCGTTAGATAGATTACACCTTACAAAGTTAGAATTTACTTATTTTAAAAGTTTATTTTCCAAGGAAGGACACAAGTTATGTTCGCAGTATAAGTAAAAAATATTATTTTTAAGCAACTTTGTGAATTTAAGAATTAGTTAATTAATTTAACAATAACGCTCGAAAAATTGAACTGAAAAAAATATATTTTTTAATGAAGTTGAAGTAAATTACCCTTCCCAATTTTAGATGTGCCAATTGAAATAAATGTTCCATGAAAAGGTTACAGACTTGCGAATAAATCGAAAATTTTTCCACCCGCATTTATATAGTAATCTTACAATACCTGTACCGCTATTATAATATGAGTAGGTAACCGTTAATTACTAAGTAATAAATAAACCTGTTTTCAAGCAATCCTGAAAAGAAAGACCCAAGGTTGAATTGGTTAAATATGTTATCTTATCCCGACTGCTTTGAGACACAGAGAGCTGTATAAGTTCTCCCCATAAAAATTAAAAGTAGGATTTTTGAACAATTAGACTTTACAATTTTGATTAATTAATTCAAAAATTGTACTTGGAAGAATTGAATTAAAATACGGCGGGTGGTTTATTATTGTCGCATATTGCAACAAGATTTTGTTTTTAATAGGTATTTGTCAAATGAATCGCCTTTTTCTAATTTTAGACGCGACAATTTTAATAAATATGCCATGTAGCGAGGTTACCTGTGCGTAAGTTCTCTAGCAGGTAAATAAATCGAACATTTTGCTCCCCGCTTTCGTAAAAAGGTGTGCGGATAAATTACAACTAACGGCATCCCTTCCACTTAAAAACCGAAGTAAAACGAATGAATTAAGTATGGAATGTTGGTTGCCTATGTGACAGGTATAAGGCATTCGAGGGACATTTAATAAGTCAGAAACTGTACAATACATGCTATAAAACGTCTATTGGCTTTTTTTTTTTAAATAAATGTTCCTTTATTTCCGCGCAACTCGGAAGTAAATATCGTTCGTTAGACTACTTCCTCTAACTAAACGATCTAGTTCGGTCGACTTTTCCATACGTCCGTCGACGGTAGGGCGACGAACAGTGTGTACAAAGGGCAGAGACGTAATCAAAGCGAGCTTATTACTCGCGCTTACTGGGAATACACAATACACAGTAAAAAATCTATTATTTACCGCTCAAAAAACGGCTTATTGTTACATGAAGAACATATCTTCGCACCTATGAATCAAACCAACAAGCGTTCGGACCTTAATAAATTGTGCCATAGGCGTAGAATGGTATAACATATCTCTAAACATCATACATTTCAAGGAATAATAGATACCTATTATAAATAAGTTCAAGCAAACACTAAACATTTGGCAACGCTGGGATTTCTGCAATGATATTTATAAACTTCTAAACAAGTAGTTGCCTTGAAATAGCCCCTTAGGCGTAGCGTACGCCAATAAAATTGAAAAAAAGTTGTAAAATTTGTTAGGCAACACACAATACATATGCAACACTATTCTCTATGCCGTTGAATCTCTTATTATGGTTACTCTTTGATATAACCAGCAGCGTGGTTTGGAGGGTACATATCCCTTTATTAAATTAACCAGTAAAAATTATATAGAGTAACTTTTAATAGTTTCCACAACGTATTGGTACAAATCAACATTTACATTTTTCGCCCACAGATAGTCTAAGTGGCTGTATCCTTCAACCAAGTGCAGTCTAACAAGGTTTCGCAAATCTGCCGCCAGTAACTCCACGTCCTAAGAAAAAAAAATTAAACACATCTCAGTTTGAAAAATTTATTTACCTTCGCTGCGGATAAGGCATCTTGCTTTGAGTAATATAGGGCCGACGGCAGCGTTACTTTAGTCAGATCCAGTTTTGGCGGACTCGCCTGTCCATACCTTATTAAGTTTTGTTGCTGCCCAAAATCGTACATCTGAAATTGTCCCGAGATAGCCAACTGGATGTAATGGTAAAACATTCTCATCGAAGCTCCGGCGGGTGTATTCGTTAGGATAACGGGTAATAAGGTCTGGAAATATGTGTTAGATTTGTAAGTCAGTAGTTTTTGTATACCGTGTTAAAGTTGGTACTGTATCCGGCGTAAAGGTAAACGATGGTCTCGCATATCGGCTGGGTCAGAGCGTAGTCGTTACATAAAATTCGTCCTACCAGTGTCAGTAGTTGAGAATGGGGTAAGAGTTGATATACACCATACGAATCGAGTAAGTGCTACACGTTCAAATGATAAATGGTAAAATAAGTCACTAATTTAATTTACCTGCAGCAATGGTAAATTGCTGTCTAATATTTTGTAAAGTATATGATTTGAGTTTGCAGTGTAAGCGACAGGTGCCAAAGCGGTCATTAATGTGGTATATTGGAAGAAATATACGCCAAAATAATTCGTATATTTTGTGATACACCTACAAATTAAGTATAGTTAAATAACTTAAACATGTACAATAAAATTAATAGCACAATCGTCAATCGCGTGGTCACTTCTTTCTCCGGTTCGTCATTAATGTCAAAAACGCTGTCCACGTTGACGTCACTTCCCGTGGTTAAGTACCCGACAACACTACACCCCCGCACTTTGCTTAAACTAATACAACATGTAATCAACAATAAAATACATACATACATAGTTACAATAAATTAACCTCGTCTACTAGAACAAAATCTAGATTTTTCTTACGTGTTGTACCTGACGGGTATTCTAATTTTTCTCTTAGGTCGGCCCTCCCTTATCGTATTAGGTAAATTTACCGGTGTAGAGTTGGAAATATTTCGTGTTTCATTATGCACTGGATTTGGATTGGATGGGAGTTTGGGAAAAACCGTTCTTCTCTCTTCTTGTCGCATTTTCGCTGGTAGTGTGTTGTCCGGTGGAACTTGAATGATTTGGTCCTGGTGTCTTCTCCATATTCTTCCATCTTTCACTCGACACAAATAGTTTTTCTTTCCAATAACTTCTTTGATCTTGGCCTCTGTCCAATTTTTGTTATTTACGTCTTTATAATCTCTTGCCATTATCGTATCCCCCACTTTAAATTGCTTGTACTCTTTTCCTTTACAGTTCTGGATCTGCTTTTCTTGATTTTCTCTAACTTTCCTGTCAACGTTTGGCTTAAGGATGTCGAAGACTGTTCTCAGTTTCCTACCCAACATTAAATTGGATGGTGTTTCATTTGTTGTAGAGTGTATTGAACTTCTATAGGTTAAAAGATATCTACTGATGATTAGATTAAGGTCAGCATGTTTATTCTGGAACAGTGCTGCTTTAAGTCCCTTTTTGAAACTTCGTACTGCATTCTCCGCTGCGCCGTTTGTTGCTGGATGGAAAGGAGCTGATGTTATATGCCTCACGCCGTTGTTCTTTAAAAATTCTTCAAATTTCTTCGACACCAGTGAAGGTCCATTATCCGAAACTACGCAATCTGGGATTCCCCATCTGCAGAATGTATCTCTCAGTTTGTCGATTGTCATTTCTGTTGTAATGTTCTTCATCTTGAATATCTCTGGCCATTTGCTGTAGGAGTCTATAATAATTAAGTAGTATACATTATTGATAGGACCGCAAAAATCCATGTGTATCCTCTGCCATGGTCTCTCCGTTCTGTTCCAAGGCGTTGGGATCGACTTCTGTGGATTATCCATCGTCTTTAAACATGGTAAGCAGGATTTACCCATTTTCTCTATCTCTTCATCCAGTTTTGGGAACCAGAAGTAGCCTCTTGCAATTGACTTCATCTTTACAATCCCTAAATGGCTGGAATGTAATTCATTTAATAATTGATGTCTAAATTTCTTAGGTATAATGACCCGATACCCCCACATTATGCAATTTTGCTCTATCGTAAGCTCATTCTTACGAATAAAGTATGGTTTTTCAGTTTCTAAAACTTTTTCTGGCCACCCCTGCATTAGATAGTTGTAAATTCTCCCAAGCTCAGGATCTCTTCTAGTCTCTATTGAAATTTTTTGACTGTCAATAGGTACCCCTGCAGTTACTACTAGGTTCAAATAACTTTCTTCGTCCTTTAAGTCGTCTAGGGTTCCTTTGAGTGCATGTCTTGAGAGCATATCAGCAATGTGATTATGTTCTCCCTTAATATATTCGATATTGTAGTTAAAACCAGTTAAGAATAATGCCCATCTCTGCAATCTTGATGCTGCCATTTGCGGTAAACCTTTGTTTTCCCCAAAAATCCCTAACAATGGTTTATGATCACATTTTATTGTAAATTTAGTTTGGCCCATTAAATAAAAATAAAATTTTTTTACCGCCCAATAAATTGCTAATGCTTCTTTGTCTAAAACAGAATAATTTTCCTCTGCTTTGCTCAGGGTTCTCGAAATAAAAGCTACGGGTCTCAAATCGCCATTGTCTAATTGGTGCGCTAAACATGCTGCAATGCCTTGTTTAGATGCATCGGTTGTTACCACTATAGGTTTGTGTGGATCAAAATGAATTAATATTTTATCAGATGATATTAATTTTTTAATCTCGGCAAATGCTCTGTCGCAGAGTTCATTCCAATGGAAGCCGTTGTCTTTCTTTAACAACAAATATATTGGTTTCATTATTATGGATAATTTAGGTATAAATCTGGAGTAGTAGTTAACAAGCCCTGCAAAGCTTTTAACTTGAGTGACTGTCTCTGGTACCGGTGCCTCCAAAATTGGTTTAATTTTGTCGCTATTCTTTTTTAAGCCTTCTTTACAAATAGTATACCCTAAGTATGTTATTTCTGGTTTAAAAAATGCACATTTTGACCGTTTAACTTTAAAACCTGCTTCTTGCAGTCTCGTGAACACTTTATCCAAATTTATTTCATGTTCCACTCTTGTAGAACCAGTGACAATTATGTCATCGAGAAAATTGGCACATCCATCTAGACCTTGTAGTGTTTGCTCAATTACCCTTTGGAAAATAGCACTGGCTGGTGTTATCCCAAATGGTAATCTGTTGACTTTGTACAGACCTTTGTGGGTGCTCCATGTGAGTAACTGTGTTGACTCATCTCGAAGACTCAACTGATTGTACGCATCGCTAAGATCAATTTTTGTAAACGACTCACCATTTGTTAGTTTTGAGAAAATGTCTTCAAACTTCGGTAGCGGATACTTCACTTCTTCCAGTACCTTGTTCACCGTGATCTTGTAGTCACCGCATAGCCTAACACCCCCTCCCTTCTTAAGAACCGGAACCAGCGGTGTCCCCCATTCGCTGCTTTCAATTTGCGAAATGACACCCAACTTCTCCAGTCTGGAAATTTCTTCTTCTACTTTCGGTTTAAGGGAAATGGGAACAGTTCGAGGTTTAAAAAATATTGGTCGGGCGCCTTCTTTCAACTGTAATTTAAATTGTTTTAGTTTATAACAACCAAGTTTTTCTTCGAAAATCTCTTTATGTTTCTCAATAATGTGATTCGAATCATTGTTTAACTCTAAAATATCTTGTATTACCAATTTGCAATTAAATTTTTCTAAAAAATCCCTACCCAATAAATGTTGCCTTACATTGGGGATTACATATAAAATAAAATCCTCAACCGTATAATTTTCAAACATTAAGGTGCCTTTTAAGTACCCAACTGGTCTTAAATTGCAGTTTGAAAAGCTACGGAGTGAAACATCTGTATTGAATAACTGAAGATCAATAAGATTTTGACGGTAGCAAGCTTCACTTACTACGGATACTCCGGCACCACTATCCACTAACATATTTAAACTTACATTGTTAAATTTAACATTTGTTGTGACAGGATTTCTATTACTAAATTCTAACATATTTATTACCTCGTCCGATTGTGCATTGTCCTCTACAAAATTCACCGATTTACAAACGGTTGCTAAATGTCCAACTTTACCACAGCCATTACACTTGTAATTCTTGTACTTACAGATTTGGTTTCCCGTGTGTTGCTTCCCACAACACTTGCATGTCCATTTACTTGCCGCTTTGCTGCTGTCACCTGATCTTGCACCCGATTCCACCCTTTTCTGCTTTTCATAACCCCTGGTTTTGTTAACCTTCTTCCTCACTGCCACTGTGTTGATGTTCTTGGAGTCTGCCAACATGGTACTTTCCTTGTTCAACGCTAATTCTAGAAGTTTTGAAAAATCTGTAGTAGGCTTTTCTTCACAAATTCTGTCCCTAATCTTCCCCGGCAATACACCGCAGACAAATTTGTCTCTTAAAATGTCCTGTAGGTTATTTCCGAATTCGCAATTAGTCGATAGGTTGTGAATTCGCGCGTACCATTCATTCACCGTTTCATTTTCCTCCTGTCGAGCTCCATAAAATTCAATTCGTTCTCTGAATACGGACGTTGTTGGTGAAAAGTGTTTCCTTAAAAGGGTACACAGTTGCTCGTATGTAGATTCCTTCGGTAACGTAGGTGTGCATAGATCTCGTAAAATTCTGTAAGTGTCATGCCCGATGAGGCTTAATAACGCCGAAACTCTTTTTTTGCAGGATTCGGTGTCCTTAATGTCGTTAATAACAAAAAATTGTTCCAATTGCTCTTCATATAAGATCCAATTGTCTGCTTTCATGTTAAAACTGTTTATTGTCCCTATTAACGGCATTTTTGTGGAATGGAAGTTTGACCTTTGACCTTTTGGAGATGTGCTATTTGCTTGCAATTTCCCGATTACTTTTTGTTTACTCTCGTCGCCACTGTGGTATATTGGAAGAAATATACGCCAAAATAATTCGTATATTTTGTGATACACCTACAAATTAAGTATAGTTAAATAACTTAAACATGTACAATAAAATTAATAGCACAATCGTCAATCGCGTGGTCACTCTTTCTCCCGTTCGTCATTAATGTCAAAAACGCTGTCCACGTTGACGTCACTTCCCGTGGTTAAGTACCCGACAACACTACAATTAATATTATTTTGTCATTGTATTCTGGCCTGGCTGCCAGCATAGCAAGTACAGAGGTAGTCCCTTGCGAATGCCCAACGTAAAATAACTGTTCACGACTAGTTTCACGCAAAATGTAGTCTATAGTCGCAGTGATATCGTAGATGCCAATCTCTTGAAAGCTGCACTTCGAATAAGATAACGTTGCATAAACACAATCTTAATGTTCACCTGATATCAAAAAACTCCTTATTATTCAGATCAGGATCGAGTGTCCTGTGTTTCCTGGACCACCGAGATCCCCTAGGGTTTACGATCCATATATCGTAGCCCTCGTCGGCCAGTATATATGCTAAACTAATACCCGGACCCTGAGTTAAAAATTCCGCCGAACTGCAAACAAGTCCTGGCACAAAAAGTATGGGATGTCCCGTTTTTGTACCGTTCCTACCATGTGGAATACGATGAACTTCTAATATGTATCCGTCTTCGGTTTCCACGGTATGCACTTCCAGAGGATATCCATACTTCTGTATCATTTGTTTCTGCAAAAAGACAATGTTGTTAACCCTCTACTTTCTGGTCAATCCATTGAACAAACAAGTCGAGCAAAAGGTGCACCACCCTTTGTGTTAGTAAAGCGACAAGAATTTTTGTAAGAACATTGCTCTTTTCCAACAGCAGTGTTTAAATGTGTTCACTTAAGACATATTTTGCATCAAGTAAAGTAAAAACATAAACTTTTGTTTTCAAACAGTTTCACCTGCAAATTTTAATGAAGAATGCAGTCCATTACAGACAATGAGTATGAAGTCTTTGTCTGTTTGTTTGTATTATTCAGTAATCTAAGAAAGGCTATTGCATATTGTTCAATCAACATGAATTTGAAAACTCTTGTAAAAAAATAACGTGCCTACAATATACACGTGGGTGGTAGATTAAACTTATTTCTGCCATTACTATAGTGAGATGTAGTTTATATTCTTCTCCACAAACATAGGAACTTACCGCATCTAAATCAAAATCAGGGTGCCTATATCTCCAAGAAGAGGAAACACTCGAAATCCAAAGGGAGCAAGCCACCAAAAGTAGCAGTTTCGCTGACATTTTGTTTCCAGCTAACAAAAGCAGAAACTCAATCATTTTTACACCGTTATTGGGAGAAGCCTACTACATACAAAGTCTCAATTGAACACAATAGCAATTGGAGCCCTTGCAGATTAGATAAAAACGCTTAAGTTTCGGTCCTTGATCTATTGTTTTTGTAACTATAATGATGAGCAAAGTTTATTCCCATTGTGATATGAAAATAGCGTAGCTAGGTATAGGAGTAACAAAACTGCCCTTGCGTGTTTCGGGTGGATTTAGTATTTATTTATTCTTTTGTGATACACCTAACATTTTTGGGAATTAAAATGTAAAAATACTTCTCAATTTGAAATGACAGATTGACGTCGGTCTATTGACTACTACTCGTTCACTATCGGTATGTTTATTCTCCGTTTGGAGAGCTCTCACCTTGAAGTTGTCAACGTTCAAAAGTTGTAAATCAAATGCAAAGGGGTTCTTACAAACAAGAGTACGTACCTAAATCATTATATCATAGCAAACACAAACGGGCAGAAACATTAGGACACAAAAGTTCGCAATATTGTTGTAATCGTAATTTGTAAATTTACAATACCAAATCGACGTTTTCTGATAAGCACGATATTTTACTACATTGGGCCTGAAAGTAGGACTTCGTTTTGGAAGTTGACGAGGGTGCAAGGAAACTGAATCGTCATTAGGAGAATAACCATATGCCATTTGGTTTTGGTAATATGCACCTTGTCGTTTTCAATAAACCATCGACAAGGCACTATGTTACTTGAAAAACACCGTCTTCTAAACTACGAGCCTCTAAAGAATACACTTGTTTTAGGGTCGTTAACAGGGCACAACTAATGTCATATTGTACGTGAAAGACCGCTCAATATTAGTAATCATTGATAGCATAAAATAGATCCTATAGGACGGTATATTATTTTTTAATATGACTTCTGGTTTATCAGATTTTTATCCAATTAAGTAGGTAAACTTTTTGTCAAAGATTACGCGGTTGCCAGTTTGTAATCTTCCGTTTCTCCTTGAATGTACCCATATGAGTGCCTGACTGAATGCGTCTTCAGGATGTGAATAAATAATGTGAGTTGGTACCTTGGGATAGAAGAAATGTCACTTTTTGCTTTTGTCGTTAAAATGACAGGCACCAACTTTGCGATGAAATCTTATTAAATTCCTGAGGCATCAAGCTAAAATTATCGAAATTTTTTTCTAAGCGTTATTAACGCGAATTGGAATTTGCTAGCCTTAATCTAGGTAAGCATATTTTCCATATTTCCGTGTTTACAATATTTTTCTTTATTTATAGGTTAGTTTATATCACCTCTTCCCGAAAAATGCGAAGTTGCTTAATATATGATCTATTCCCTGTTATCCCGGTCATTGGGGTAAGCAAAATTAATCGTATCAACATATGTTTGATTTCTCCATTTTAGTTCCTTTTCCGGATACCTTATCTGTACCGAAACAGTATCGTTAACAGGGAGGTTAACACTTGAGTATTCGACAAACTAGTAGCTTGCTCTATTATGATACCGCCAAATTGAGCAAGTGTGGTGGATTTCCAACCATCATTTGGGACCACAGTATTATCTATTTCGAGTTGCCGTAGTTCGATTCTCCTTTTTTTAAGCTATTTATGTAAAATTTGCCTTGACTGTTAATGACCGTATATGCGTTGATCATTCAACATTAATTCAAACTTATATTCTTTATAATAATAATAATAATAATAATAATCTTTCTTGTTGTTAACACAAAAATTTTTTGTTTACAAACGTCAATTCTGATAAGGATAAAAAACAAGGGACAAAAACATTTAATGACTAACTTACATTGAAATCGGATGAGGACCATTGGCAATTCAAGAATTCCTTAATGTCGTAAAAACTTTGCTTTTTTAAAAATGTCTTAATTTTAGTTTTGAAAGTTTTGGATGGTAGCCTTACTACGTTGCGAGGTAATTTGTTCAAAAAACGAGGACTGTAATAATTGGCCCCATATCTACTACATTGCAATCTCATATATTGATGCCTCACCAGTTCACCACCCCTGGTACGGTAATTATGGATTTGATTTTGTAGAGTATAGCAATGTGATTGTTGCTTAGCATCCAGTAGACACGCATATATATATACAAACATGGTAACGTGTGTATATCCAAAGAGCTGAATTTACTCCTGATATCTGCTCTGTAAGGGGTTCCTGTAATAGCGCGGAGAGCCCGGCGTTGAAGGCCAAATAATCGCTTCGAATGATGAGAGTGTCCCCAACAAAAAATTGCGTAGTTAATGTGAGAATGTATTAGACCATAGTAAGCTAAAACCAGAGTTATCACGCTTACCTGTCCATATAGCCTCTGTATAACATATATGTTACGGCTAATCTTAGTGGATCTAAATAAACACCCAGGAATTTCACCGATTCAACACTGTGTTGTTTGTGTATCTTTATCCCCTTGTTGTACCTTCGCATGTATTTATTGTAGCAGGTATTTCGATTGTGGACAGATTGTCCATATTTATTAATTGTTAGAGATTTTCTATTGCTTTTATCGTCTATTTTCCAAAGCTAATTCCGTTCCGTTCCTTGAAACAAAATCTTACTCCAGCTGTTCTGATTATTGCTTTGTACTTTAGTGTTATAATATTGATATTACTAAGATACGGAATTGGTTACTTTAATAATTTGTTATTGAAATTAAATGATTATAATATACAGGGTGTAGAAACGGTTTACGCACCAAAGGAATTTCAATGGTAATTTCTTTATATTAAAATATTTTCTCTCCTAATTATTTTACAGAAAAGTTGTACGTTGCACTCTGTATGGCTGCCTGCATACTTCTCTTCCATTGATTGCATTATGGTATGTAAATATACTTAGTGATTTTGTGTAATATGTTGAATGCTGAGACTGAGAATTATGTTTTTCCTTATTCTGAAGTGACCTCCATGTTTCGTATTGTACCCATCCGATACATATATTACAGAACTGTTATGTTTCACTGGAGCGCAAAACAAATTTTAGAGACTTGGTTATTATACCTATAAATGTAAATTGTGATTTTTAGCAACCAGTTGAATTTGGACAATCCACAAAATTTCAGTTTCATTTTAACGATTTGGTTCTAAAAGTTTAAGAAATTCTTTGACCTTTTGTTTTGAACATGTGAAATAAAAGAAGTGCTTTTATTAACCCTCATCCATTGATTAGTTTAGTCAGTACCAATAAATTGCTTTCATATTTGTAACTGATACATTACTTTTAGCCTTTTAAGGTTAAATTACTGTTTTTTTTAACTTTTCTTGCAGGCTACATAAACTTTTAGAATCTTCTCTTGACGTCCTATATTTGTGGGACCAATTATAGCTGGTTTGGTATTTTCCATACAGACGCACAAGCACCTAATTATATAGGTACCTTAATCTATTTGTGATTGTGCCGGTTGGTGCCTGATTTTTTACAACTTTGAAATCTCGTATTGTAGTTTACGATACGATAACATGAAACAAAAAAAAACTATCTAAAAATTATCTTTAGATAATAAAGACAATATCTAGAGTGATACGCAGCTTATTGGTGATAAATACTGAAGGGCACAGTAATATAGAATCCGATTATTGTCTGTGGCAAGTATAGCAGCAACTAGTTTGTCTTGTTTACTTTAGCGGGAATAAACATTCAAGCTAAAACTTTTCTTATCAATAATCCATTTGCATTTGGCGTCAATGCAATAGGTACGAGTATGTCTACAAATCGTTTGTAAGTCGACCTATTCACCTAAGTGTATGGAAAACCTAGCAAAACTCTATAGGTAAGTGGCTTACGTTCTAAACTTGAATATAACCCTACAGATTTAAAACACTAGGTGAAAAAAGGGAGCATTGCCACATATAATATAAGCAAAGATTGGAAATTGTGGTTATTATTGCTCTTGCTATGTCGAGTAGCCATTCAATGGTTTTAACTGAAACCCAGTTAAAGGCGTTTAAAGAATTTCTGGGACACGCGGGCGATTATTGTATATCCTTTTCATCGGGAGTAGACGAGGGTGAAAATTTCGGTGGAATTATAATAAGGGCCGATGTAACGTGGAAAGAGGGAAATAAGGAATGCACCTCTCATTACATTATAAAGTGTACTCCACCAAGTGAATCTTTACAAAGGCTAATACCCGTGCAAACCGCCTTCATAATTGAAACATACGTGTATTCGAGAGTACTTAAGGAGTTCAATATAATTCAACGGGAATATAACCTCAGAAAACCGTTGGATTGTTTCCCAGTTTACTATACGTCTTTGCCGACCACAAAAGAAAAAATGATAGTATTGCAAAATGTAAAGGAACTAGGATATAGGCATTACGATCGATTTCAACCTCTAGACTATCCACACCTGCTATGTGTAGTAAAGGAGTATGCACGTGTGCACGCTTTGACCTATGCGATACGGCATTACAAACCAGTTCTATTCGAAGAATTCGAAGCAAATACTGAAAACCACGTCTTTCACGACTTCAAATACGAAGGCATTATGATGGTTACTCAACATCGAATGGATCACGCGTTAAAGGCCCTGGAGTCGATTGAGGATACCACTTTGTATAAAAAATTCGCATGCTTTGCTCAAAATGTACGTTCTGTTTTTGAAAAGCTGCTCAACTCCAAAAAGAAGCACCGAGTGATTAGTCACATCGACTGTGGTATTCCAAATTTTTTGTTTAAGTATGATGTGAGTAACTACTGGTATCGTACACTTAAAACTAATTGAGACGTTTTAGCCTAGCTCTGGTGAACTTTTGAGTACCTGCATAATCGACTGGCAACAAGCTCGTTTGGAGTCCCCAGCAGTAGATTTGGTTACGTTTATATTTTCGGCTGCCGACAAAGCTACCCGAGAACGTTACGATGAGTTAATAATGGAGTATCACAAGACGTTTTGTTCATTTCTGGGAGAATTTGGGTGTGATGGAGAAAAGTTACTTCCGTTTGAAGACTTGCAAGAAGAATTAATGGAATTCGGCTTACTTGGTCTTATAATAGGAATCTCGTTGATTTACGTTTATGCAACGGTCGACCAAAAGGTTCCGGATATATTCCAGACCGAGTGCCCTAAGGAAGAATTTGGATTTTTGTACGATTTGCAAGACAGTTCCAAATTTGATAAAAGGGTCCGGGAAGCAATTTGTGATTTTAATCGTTTCGGTTATAATTTTGAGTAAAATTTAAGTTGCAAAGTACCAGCATTAGTTCACAAACAACGTTGTCATTGGATCCCATATCTCAAGGGGGTCTTTCAGAATTTTTTCATGTAAACATTGTAATTTAGTCCAAATTTACAACTTCATGTTGTTGGTAATAAAGGTTGCCCCTACCTTCCTAAGATTTCGGTAAAATTTTATTATGAGCGTTCTAATAAGGTGTATTTCTGGCACAACGTTCAAATAAAAAACGTGCCAGTGCCAAAGGGGAGCTTCTATTTAAATAAGTAATGTGTAAAATTCCTCATATGTTAACAAATTGCCCTGTAATATACGTATGTAAGTATTGCTTACACGTCGGGTGGCGGGTCAAGTATGAAATTGCCAGTTAATTTGATGGTGGACCTGGAGCAAATAGTTTCGAGAATCATTTGATTTTAAGTATTTCATGTAATTTAATTAATTCATTATTTGAATAACCTCAAAAACCTATTGCTATTGAAGTCAGGACCACTTCTTCCAGTTCTGCCTGTTGCCGTGTTTGAAAATCGACCGGAAGAGAGATATTCGAGATGGCGTCCAATATGGTGGTTTTTGTACCACTCTGGCAATTCTCCGTTTAAAATACCAGAATGTTACAGTTCAAGGGCCTAGACGAAGGTTTTTTGGGTCAAGGTATACGATGGAAGTGTTAAAAATGAGACCGGATGTGAAAAACCGCTATTTGGGCCAAAATGGTGCCAATAATTCAGATTTTTCTACCTTTTTTCAGAATGCTGTGAATTTTAGGATTCTGATATGGGGACATACGTTTTTGGGGCCAAGTGACACAATAGTAAGGAAAAAAATGAGATCTGATATGGTAGAAACGTGATTTGTCATATATCGGCGGAAATGGCGCCAAATATTTACTTTTCCACAAATTGAGATGTTTCCGAACGAAACATAAACTTGTTTTACTATAAACATGTCAATGTTCCGGAAGCAGGAACCACTTCCCAAAGGGAAGAGACTTTTCACGGGAGCACCATCTCAGGCCATCACCTGTCAAACTGTACAAAGTTGGTGGAAAACTGAAACGACAGTTCGAAGGGCCACGTCGTATCGTAAGTAGTTTACAATAATGGGAACGTAACCAATGTTGCAACAGATACTATTCTAGTTTGGGGATGCCTTTATAAATAAAACATGTTGTAAAATGAGTATGATCGATCGATGGGCTTGATTAGTTGATTTCTGGTATCCAACCATTAACATATTAAAAACACACACCTAAAAATTTATGTTTAGATAACAAATACAAATATCTAGAATGATAAGCAGTAGCTTTATTTGTACTAAATACTGAAGGGCGCAGTACTAAAGTAGGCCTCCGCTTATTGTCTGTGCTAAACATAGCAGCAACTAGTTTGTGTTGTCTACATACTATGGCATAAGTAAACATTCAGATTAATACTTTTCTTATCAATCATGTAGGTATCAATAATCCACTTAAATTGCAATAGTAGTTTCTTAGTCGACATACCTAAGTGATAAAGTATAACTTCCAAGTATGCAAAAACTGGCAAAACTCTGGGTAAGTGACTTACCTTCTAAACTTGAACATACCCTACAGATTTAAAACTTTAAGTGAAAAAAGGAAGCATTGCCACATATGATATAAGTGAAGATTGAACATTGTGGCTGTTGTTGTTCAACTATGTCCAGTAGTAGCCCTACAATGGTTTTAACCGAAAACCAGTTAAAGGCGCTTAAAGAATTTCTGGGACAAGCGGGCGATTATTGTATATCCTTTTCATCGGGAGTAGACGAGGGTGAAAATTTCTGTGGAATTATAATAAAGACCGATGTAAAGTGGAAGGAGGGAAATAAGGAATCAACCTGTCATTACATTATAAAGTGTACTCCACCAAGTGAATCTTAACAAAGGCTAATACCCGTGCAAACCGCCTTCATAATTGAAACATACGTGTATTCGAGAGTACTTAAGGAGTTCAATATAATTCAACGGGAATATAACATCAGAAAACCGTTGGATTGTTTCCCAGTTTACTATACGTCTTTATCCACCCCAAAAGAACAAATGATAGTATTGCAAAACGTAAAGGAACTAGGATATAGGCATTACGATCGATTTCAACCTCTAGACTATCCACACCTGCTATGTGTAGTAAAGGAGTATGCACGTGTGCACGCTTTGACCTATGCGATACGGCACTACAAACCAGTTCTATTCGAAGAATTCGAAGCAAACAACGTCTTTCACGATATTGCTATGTGTAGTAAAGGAGTATGCACGTGTGCACGCTTTGACCTATGCGATACGGCACTACAAACCAGTTCTATTCGAAGAATTCGAAGCAAACAACGTCTTTCACGATTTCAAATACGAAGCCGTTTTGATGATTATTCAACATCGAATGGATCACGCTTTAGGTAAAGGCACTGGAGTCGATTGAGGATACCAATTTGTATAAAAAATTCGCATGCTTTGCTCAAGATGTACGTTCTGTTTTTGAAAAGCTGCTCAACTCCAAAAAGAAGCATCGAGTGATTAGTCACATCGACTGTGGTATTCCAAATTTTTTGTTTAAGTATGATGTGAGTAACTACTAACTGGTATCGTACACTTAAAACTAATTGAGACGTTTTAGCGAACCTCTGGTGAACTTTTGAGTACCTGCATAATTGACTGGCAACAAGCACGTTTGGAGTCTCCAGCGGTAGATTTGGTTACATTTATATTTTCCGCTGCCGACAAAGCTACCCGAGAACGTTACGATGAGTTAATAACACACGTTTTGTTCATTTCTCGGAGAATTTGGGTGTGACGGAAACAAGTTGCTTCCGTTTGAAGATTTACAAGGTGATTTAAAGGAATTCGGGTTACTTGGTCTTATAACGGGAATCTTGTTGATTTACATTTACGCGACGGTCGACCAAAAGGTTCCGGAAATATTCCAGACCGAGTGCCCTAAGGAAGAATTTGGATTTTTGTACGAATTGCACGACCGTTCCAAATTTGATAAAAGAGTCCGCGAAGCAATTTGCGATTTTAATTGTTTAGGTTACAATTTTGAGTGAAATTTTAGGTTGCCAATTAATCTACTAGCTCTGAAAGAGGCATATTTCATATGGGCTCTTTCTGAAAAATTCTTCTTGTAAATATTGTATTTAGTCCAAATTTTCAATTTCTTGTTGTTGGTAAGGAAGGTTGTCCCAAAGGAAAAGGTACCTACATTGCTAAGGTCTCGGTATAATGTCTATGTGTTTTTTTTTAAATAAAAACAGTATTGAGATAACATGCCTTTTATTTTTGATTCTCTTCATCAGCCCACCCTCAAAAATATACCCCAAATGTATCTCGAAGTAGTGTGTGCAAAAGATGGGTTCGAATCCCCAGTTAAGGAATAGCTGTTTGTGATTGTGATTGGGTTGAGTGGGAAGAGAAGCTGATAATTAATTAGCTGACACTCAACTCACTACAAAATAAAGGTAATGAAATAGAAAAGAAAATTAAAAAAAATGGATCTTGAATGAAAAACCGTTTAGACAATATGATTGCGCACGCGATAGATGGTACTAATAAATTGATGCCCATGAAATTCATGGCTGGGTGATCCATATTCTTGTATTTGGGGTGTAGTATCTAAAAATTTAAAAGAAATTTGGGAAAGACAGTGATTCTTATTTATTTAACTCACATATCGCACACAGATTCTAAACCGAAGAGTTTTTATCAGTATCTCGCTCGCCACCGAGATAGGTAACTTGTCCCTCGTCCAACGAGTCAGTACACACAACTTCCACATATTTAAACAAATGACTAGAATTTATAAATTTAACTTCAGGTCAATACCATGTACATTGAGTAACATTTACATCAAAAATAAAAAAATTCAAAACAATAAAAACTAACGGCATTTCTCCTACACGTGACAGATTGAGGTTGAATACACAACACAAAAAATTATAAACAAATGCAAAGATTAGTACCTGCATTAAGTACCACAAACCCAACAAACTATAACACGATGCCTGCTCAACCACCGATAAAAGTAAGGTGCCTCCAACGTAAAGAAACGCACATACGTCTTAGCAGAAATTTTAGATGTTAGAACGGCAACGATGTAAAACTTATTAATATAAGCACGAATCCGTTATTAATATTCATTCATGTTACCGACTTTACTATCTTGTTATTGTCAAAAACCCCATGTGGGCAACCGAAAACCCTCATAATTTTGAAAAAACCAGTTGTTTGCAGATTGGTATTCGGGTTGGCATATCTGGGAGACGTATCACAGGCCCAATTTTTTTCAACAATACCGTTACTTCAGTAAGGTGCCGTACTGAAATATACGTTCCTGAATCAACTTCATGTGACGAACTAAGACAAGGATATTTTCAGCAAGATGGTGCAGTAGCCCATAGAGTAAACGCCACTCTTCAGGATCTACATCAATTTTACGATGATTTTTTAAAAAGTAGAGATCCAGCCGCAGATTTAACCCCACTAGATTTTTTTCTGTATCCCACATTAAAGAATAACATTTTTTGAAACGCTTGCACACTCTTGAAGAACTTCAAAATGTTATCGTAGAAGAGGTGATAAAGTATCCCTTTCAACACTAGGTACTGGTAACTATTATTGGGTGGTTAAGATGGGGGAAGTCCTAGTCCAGTAGGCGTAAAGGTGGTAAGCCAAATTTCTTAACCAATTTTAACCAATGAATGGTCTTTAAATCGCCCATTAAATCTGCACTGCTTTTAAGTGAATGGCATTTGACTTGTTACTATCTTTAAAAATTGTTTGTTTTGCGGGAAATTCAAAGTGACCGCACTACCTTTGAATCACCCGGTACAGGACGATTTCGTTTCACTCAATCGTTAAAATATCCCTTTATCGTCATGTATATTAAAAGATAGAGAAATCGCCTCGGAAATCGCTTGGAAATCTTTAATCAAGAATTTTCGTGGTCACCAAGTCCAGGTATACTTTCAAAATTTCCCGTGGCGCTACGGTGTTACGAGTGGTGCAGGGGGGGGGAGGGGGAATTAACCGTTCCAAGAAAGCCGAGCCCAGATTTGCCCTTATAATTCCACGGGGATGCGCAGGGGTTGCACCAGGGGGTGCCGGGAGGTACAATGGAGTGAATAATTAACCGTACCGAGAAATTGATCGGAAATGCTTACTAGGTTGTATATGTATAAAAAAATTATATTTTTTTCAATTGCCATCTTCTACTCATAAGTTATCCCCACCTCCCCCGTATCGCCACCCCTGGGCATCCCCGGGCAATTCGAGGGCAGATCTGGATTCTTCGACCGCATGGCTCAACAAGTATAATTATACAGCTTTTTGTTAGTATTTTTCTAGATACTGTGCCAAAAACCGTATTTCGATACGAACTGTTTGCAAAAATTTCGGGCAAAATCTTAAAATGGACGATACACTGAATCCAAAAATCCATGTTTCACACGAGAATAGGGAATAACCCGAATAAGTATTAGTTTTTGTGGTTCTTTCCTGTATATTGCTGTGTTTAATACCTATGGTGCGATTATAATTACTACCCATTTTAATATTACAGTGCCAAACATCGCACCTCGATCTGTAGAACAGTTACAACAAATTTGGCGGATGGAGGGACAAATACATTTTTTTAATGCGCTAGAAGAATGCGCCAATCATAACTGAACTGAGAAATATTTTTATTTTCTTCAAAGACATGTTTTCACCGCAATTTAATTAACATAAAAAATGTAGATCGTATTCGAGATCGAGGAGGATTTACATACCTATAAATAACTTTTTTTCTACAACTGTCATAAAAACCTGTCATTTTCTGACGGATTTCGAAACGCGAAGTACTAGATTTTTAAACGGTTAATTAATAAGTAAGGTTGCTCTTGACAACGTGCGCGAAATCGTCAACAGTGAAAAAAAGTATTTCGCGCACGTGACAAAGTTGAACTTAAACAGCAAATTTAATTAACAATCGGTTCAGTTGTAGAAAAAATATTGTATATAACGCTAGCGCGAAGTTATTTCGCGCATTTGACTGATATTTTAACTCGGCTTCGCCTCGTCAAAATACCTTCAGTCTCAATGCGCGAAATTGAACTTCGCGCTCTTGTTATATAAATAACTATTTGAATGTAAAGGTTGCGTTACGTTAAATGAACAACGTTGGTGTTCTATGGACTGATTTAAATTTTTTTTTTCTACATGTAATGATATTGCGAGTAACTTCCTTTCTCATTTCCATGAAGAGCAGAAAATAATAGTATGCGCTATTGCACGAATCATGCTCGCCACAACTAAAACAGCTCAGAAATAGAGGTTTCTTTTTCGATCACACGAGCTTTTATTATATAGCAGAAAAACTAATCGGTAAACGATTACCTACTGTTATTGTAAAACTGGGTCCAGCTCTTATTTCAATGAAAAAACAAATGTGAAAGAGGTAAGGGCGAATTTCAAATTAAAATCAAACACTGCCAAAAAGACAATTTGTGACATTTTGTTTTGTTTATATTTTAACAAACAGTAGAGTTCCTTTTTTCAAAAGAGAGCCAAAAAGAGTTTCGCACATTATCTTTTGTTTTTGGAAATGTTTGGTTTTAATTAAATTTGCTGCATATTAATTATCCGCCCATATCTGTTTCGTAATTGTAACAATAAAAGTAATCAAATCTAATTGCACGATCACGAGCGTTAAGAATAATAATTTACATTTTATTACTCCAAGGTCTAAACTAAACTTGTAAATTTGACGCACATTATTGTTTAAAGCAGGTGTCGTTTATATAATTATATGGAATTTGATGTTTATTGTCATTACGCTATTGCGCGCGATGTGCAAAATAGGAAACATTTTTTGAATAAATAAATGTTCCAAATATGCTGTCCCTGTGTCAAGAGTCCGATTTGGGCATACATATTTGTAGGTACCTATAATAGAGTAGGTATACTGATTAATTAAAAATACAGCAAAAAATAAAATAATAGTATATTAAGTAACAAGGGATTAAAAAGAGTTTTTGTTCCTGAAAGAATGCTTT